TAAGTGCTGCGTACCCTGGGAGCGCAGGCCCGAGGCCGGCTTTATCTTCTCGTCCTACCGCGCTTTGTGCCCCTGGCAGCTGTGCTGCTAGCGAGGCGCCCTGGCTCTACCATTGCGTTAGTTTCACCGTGTGACTCTGGGCCTCGGTTTTCCCGTCTGTAAAATGGGAATAATAATCCCCCATAGGATTGCCGTGAGCCTTAAATGGGGTTACGGTTTAACACTGCCGGGCGCGCAGGAAGGAATGGTAGCTAGTGTTGGCGTTACTCTGGGTGAGCGTAAAGTAGGCTCAGAACACTTTGAAACCAGCTATCCAACAAACACTGAGCGCCTGCTCTCTGCCAGACATCTCATTCCTGCGACCTGTGCTCTGGCTGGTAGTCAGTATTCTTCTTTTCCAAGCCCTTGCTGGGTTTTGTTTGTTTGTTTGTTTTTTTATAACGCAAACCACAGATCTTAAAGCTGAACCACATCTCAGCGGGGTTGAGGTAGGGGGGACGACAAAGCTGCCGCTTTTTATATAACATTTGTATGTATATGTTATGTATAACATTTTATTTATGTATTTATATATAAACATTTTGTTTCCCTTTGAGACTCATGAAATCTGTTCATCCCTCCTCCCAAAATGCACTGGTGTGCAGACAGCAAAACTTTCACATATAGTATGACAGGGGTTTCCATCTTTTGGAAATCTCGCCCCCCCCCCTGCCCCGCCCCCTTGGTCCTTGCCGAAGGTAAGAAAGAAACGACCATTTTTGGGAGCACAGTTAAGGCACGAGTTTAGGTTAAGAAGCTATGCATCTGGCTTCCAGTCCTGTTTCTGTTACTTGACTGTGACCACGGGTAAGTCACTTAACTCACCTGCACCCCCACATCACTAAATGTCATAAAGTGGATACCTGTGCTGTCTTCTTTGGGTCTGAAAGTCAGATACAGCCGTGGTTCTCCAAGTGGGGCTCCTTGCCCCGCAGCGTGGGCAGCACCGGGAACTTGTTAGAGATGCAAACCTCAGACCCCAGCCCAGACTTAGGGAATCGGACCCTGTGGGGCGGGGCCCTGCAGTCGGGTCTAGCAGGCCCTCCAGGTGAGTCTGATGCCGGGGTTTGAGAGCCACAGCTGTAAGCAGTTTTCCCTGCTACTTCGACTAACAGTAACATCACAACTAGTACGCACACGTGCTCATACATAACCAGGGGTTTAGGCACACTGTCCGGTGCAGTCTTTTGCTCTCTTGTACGTCCTTTTAACAATGCTGGTGAGGGAGGGGCTCTGCTTTCTACACGATTTTGTCGTAACCTGAACTTCACTGGGTGCACGCTGTTGATGCAAGGAACGAGAAATGGAATCTGGAAAGGAAATGCTTGGAAAGGGTTGCAAGTTATGGTGTTTTCCCAGTTATTTTAAAAATGTTTCCTAACTTTTTTTGTGTGTGTTTTTTGCTGTTCAATAGTTCGAGATATTCCAAGAACACTGTAGGAAGCACACGTTCCACGGGAGGTGTAAGTTATCTTTTTTCTGTTTTCATGTGATTTTTCTCTTTTTTGACGATACAAATAACTGACATTTGGTGGGCGCCTCGGAGCCACGGAGAGGTCACTGGGCGAGCTCGTGTTTTGTTGTGGTGACCGAGTGCTTTCCTCTTCCTACCGCTTCTTCCATGTAATGGAGAGAATGGTTCAGGCTTTGAATATTTTTCCAGACCGAGCTTGGTTTTATTTTCACTCGCCTAACTGGCGCTGTTTAAAAGTATATAACTTTCTGTATGTTGCTGTTTTCATTTGTGGCCATTTCTCTCTGTATTATCGTTATAAACAACTGTGTATGGTTCCACGGTATTCCACTTAGTCCACATTACAGCTTTACTGTAAGGTAGGGGCTTAGACTAAGACGGTGACAAAGGCAGGCCATTTCTTTAACACTCTGGGTAGCCAATTTCAAATTACTTTCCAGGGCTGTCCATTTGGCATTGTCAGTGGACACTAAGACGTAGGAACGGTGTAGGAGGGTGCCTGCTTGCAGGGTGCCGGTCAGGGAGTCTGCTCTGCTCTCTGTCCCGCCCTGGCTGGCTGGCTGTCTGTCTTGCGTGGTGTCCTGCCTGCTGCCCTAAGGCCCCCGCAGAGGGATGCTCCTGCAGGGGCCCCTGAGCTCTCCACTCCCCCCCGCCCTAGGGTGCTTGTTCTGTGCATGGATTTCTCTCTGCCCTGAAGTCCGGTGTGCAGGCGGGATTTCTCTGAGCGCTGCCACCTGCTCCCAGCCCCCTTAGCTAAAGTCCCGAGTGCCTGGGACGGGTTTCTTCAGCTCTCCTGCCCTCCCCTCCTGTGGAAGGCAGCTTAGCCTCAGGAGGATGGAGGGTCTGCCTCTTCTTGGGCATTCCACCCCAAACACTCCTTGAATAATTTTCAGTGGGGGAGTAATTGTCAGTGATCAAGTTTTTGTTTTGCCAGCTTTACTCCATCTTGTTTATATCTTCCAGAATTTCCTCGTCTGTTTTCCAGAGCTACTATGGACCTTTTTCTCATTTTCTCTGTTTTGGTCTTTCGTGAGGGTTTTGGGTAGCACACTTCATGGGGCTTATCTGTCTATTGAACTGCAGACCCTGGACTCTGCCTGGATCAGGGGTTCTAACCCTGGGTATCCTCAGAACTGTTGATGACCCTTCACACCTGTGGGGCTGTTCTCGGTCGAGGCCCATCACTTTCTGTAGGTCAGGAGTTGGCAAACTACGGACCGTGGGCCCCTGCTTGTGTCCAGCGCTGCAAGCTAAGGATGGCTTTCACATTTTCAAATGGTTGGAATAAAGGAGGAAGTATCCCATGACATGAGAACATGCTATGAATTCAGGTTTCAGGGTCCATAGTGAAGTTTATCCAGCACAGCCACGCTCACTCTCTGCACCGTCCCCGAGCTCTCAGGCTAATGGCTGAGCTGGGTCACTGTCGTAGGGGCCCTGCGGCCTGCCAAGCCTCAGGTCACTACTTTCTGGTCTTTTATGGAAAAGTGTGCCAGCTCCTGACGCGGATGATCAGAGGGGTCTGTGTGCGTCTCCCTCCTCCACCCCCACGCCGCTCCCAGAAGTGTGAAGGGCGCTTCTTTCGGCCGCAGCGACAGCAGGGGTGTCCTTGCTGAGAAGTCCATCGGTTTTGTGCTGTTCTTGTTCGTGAAGCCAATTCCGTGACTGACTTCATTCACTTTCAGAAAGCCGGCCAACCCCACAAGCCCACTGACGTGTATGATTTTTCTGAGAATTCTGGAATCTCGAGCATGGGCAGGATGAGTGAGAATGAGAAAGATGAAGAACCTTATGAATCCTTTGGTGAGTATTTCAGATCTTTATCCTAAACGCTTTAGTTGAAGCAATAACATTCAGGCTAGTTAGTAATAAAAAGATAGAAGTATCTTCAAATATAAAACTCAGTTGTCTGCATATGAATAGAATGTCCGGGGCAGTTCTTGGTGATTTGAATTAATTTTTCTCACTTCTGAGTCGATTGGAACTCAGAACTCCATTAAACATTATCAGAGTAGAACTCTTCTAGGAGCATCGGTCCAGCCAGTCATACCAGGTCGCCTCGTATGGTGTCTGTAAAGGGCCTGGATTTAGGGAGAAGAGGGGGGTAAGTTCCCCTTTTCTTAAACACAGCGAGGCAGAGGATGCTTCCGAGAGCCAGGGAGAGCTTCCCTGTCCTGGTGGGAGAAACCGGCTGGTGCCTGGCTGCCCAGCAGTGTGGCCGGAGGGACGGCTTCTGTCCGCATCACCGCCCACTGCAGAGGCCAGAAATGGTACAGAAAGTGGGGTTATCTTTTCGCTGTTGAGTTCTAAGAGTCCAGCTTGTATGACTGGTTACAGAGGGAGATTCAGGATTGATCTATTCCTCTTTTTTCCTTGTTATCCCCAGCAGTGAATAAATCCCTTTGCCTGGTGGAGGCCAATACAGAGTATATTGCTAACTTTAAAATGGTGCAGTTGGTGAGAAGTTCATTATTTAAGCAGCTGTTTGAAAAGATGTGTAAATTGGCACTGCCGTGCTAAAGTTTGAGCGTGAAGAAATGGTTGTTTGGCTCCCACCAGCATCCTTCTGCCGCCATTCAGCGCCACCACCTCGGCCACCAGCTTCCTTCCCCGGGACCTCCACCTGCCCTGAGCCCCACCCTGCCAGCTCTCCTGTTGGCCCTGTAACAGCATCTCCGTCTGTGCCTTTCCACCTCGGCCACTCGGTCTCCTCTTAGATCTTCTTCCTTATTCGGGTTAACTTTTTATGTTAGCTCAAGGCTCTAGCGATGAGGGGAGGGAGGGACTGGAGTCAGTCACGAACACTGAGTGCCCACCCTGAGCGGGCCCGTGGCCTTGGAGTTGATAGTGCAGTGAGCGTGGCTCCGTCAGGGGAGGAGGGAGATGTCAGGCTTCCTGTTTGTCGTTATCTTTCCTCTCACGGAGACATTTTCATGCAAGTACAGAGATACAGGCGATCATGGATAAATGCCCACCGACGGCTAATCCGATGAGCCCCACCCTGCCAGCTCTCCTGTTGGCCCTGTAACAGCATCTCCGTCTGTGCCTTTCCACCTCGGCCACTCGGTCTCCTCTTAGATCTTCTTCCTTATTCGGGTTAACTTTTTATGTTAGCTCAAGGCTCTAGCGATGAGGGGAGGGAGGGACTGGAGTCAGTCACGAACACTGAGTGCCCACCCTGAGCGGGCCCGTGGCCTTGGAGTTGATAGTGCAGTGAGCGTGGCTCCGTCAGGGGAGGAGGGAGATGTTAGGCTTCCTGTTTGTAGCTATCTTTCCTCTCACGCAGACATTTTCATGCAAGTACAGAGACACGGGCGATCATGGATAAATGCCCACCGACGGCTAATCCGATGTGTATTTGTGAGTGAGATGGTCTACATTTTTCATTGTTGAGGTGTGAGATCAAAGACATTTGGGAAGTAGGTGGTGTAATTGATTTTGATTTTGTTAGCCATTTAAACAAAATCACTTTGTGCTCCATTGTACAGGAACAACCTTAAACCCGCCCAGGCAGACTTTTAACGTTGCACCTTAAAAACCTTTTGTAGAGCCTCCTCTACATAGCACTGCTATCTACAGCGATGAAGCTGAGCTCTCCAAGCACTGTGGGTCCTTTATCCCTTCACCTCCGCGAGGACAAGACGCAAGAAGGAGGTACGCTTGTATTCCAGCACCTGTTTATTTCATTCATGGCTAATGGGATTTCTGAGCTCTTTAAGATGGGGACCACCCT